ACAACCCAGGGCACCAGTAGAGGCTTGGGGCGGACCTGCTGCAGAGCAGCTCTGCGGAGAGGGACCTGGGTGTCCTGGTGGACGACAAGTTGACCATAAGCCAGCAGTGTGCCCTGGTTGCCAAGCAGGCCAATGGGATCTTGGGGTGCCTCAAGAGGAGTGCGGCCAGCAGGTCAGGGAGGTTCTCCTCCCCCTCTACTCTGCCCTAGTGAGGCCCCATCTGCAATACTGTATCCAGTTCTGGGCTCCACAGTTCAAGAAAGATGAGGAGCTACTGGAGAGAGTCCAGCGGAGGGCTATGAGGATGATGAGGGGATGGGAGCATCTCTCCTATGAGGAAAAGCTGAGGGAGCTGGGCTTGTTCAGCCTGGAGAAGAGAAGGCTGAGAGAGGACCTTAGAAATGACTACAAATATCTGCAGGGTGGGTGTCAGGAGGATGGGGCCAGACTCTTCTCAGTGGTGCCCAGCGACAGGACAAGGGGCAACAGGCACAAACTGAAGCAGAGGAAGTTCCAGCTGAACCCGAGGAAGAACTTCTTCCCTCTGAGGGTGACGGAGCCCTGGCCCAGGCTGCCCAGTGAGGTTGTGGAGTCTCCTTCTCTGGAGATATTCAAGACCTACCTGGACAAGGTCCTGTGTAGCCTGCTCTGGGTGACCCTGCTTTAGCAGGGAGGTTGGACTGGCTGATCCACACAGGTCCCTTCCAGCCCTGAACACTCTGTGATTCTGTGAGGTAAGGAAGCACAATACCAATTAAATCAACCGAACATTTAGGTTCTTTCTAAACATAAGTATGTCTGTAGTTCAGCTCAATGGTGCACAGACAGCTGAGCATCTAAGCGTTCACTCAGCAAGCCCTCACATCTAGGAAGTCGGGCTCGAGACTCATCCTTGCACACACTGTTGCAAGCCATCACCTCTGCTACCTCACTTTCAATGCTCTCCGCCTATATTCAGTTCTCTTCATGTTATCTTAAAAACACTTCTCCCATTTATTAAGCTAGGATAAATTGCTTGCTGTCCTCTGTACTGCAAATAACTGCTGCACAAACAGCAGCAGCAGAAACACCGTATTTGTATACAGTGGTATTGAACCTGCTCTTTTCTCTCCAGGTGGCAAAACGGAGTCCAGCTCTGCAAGCAAGTGCTGCTAGGCACGTTGTAGCAGACATGAGCACTCTAAGTGTAGCCCAGAAAGTCACTGAAAACATCAGACACAAGCTGGGTAAAATTTTTGTCTTCCAGTCCTCAATAAACACTCACCAGCCTCTCAAAATAACCATGAAAAAAAGTATTCTGAGCCTTGTTCAGATCTCCATACTGTCTCTGCCTTTCCAAAGACGACTCTCCACAGTAAAACAGTGTAAGAGAGGGTGACCTAAGAGACATGTATGGATCCCCATTCCTACGCCAACAACAAGACCCTGAGCATCCCACCATTAGGCCCAGCCATGCAGACCCAACGCACGGCAGAGTTTGTGGAGCACTCTCTTTAATAGCTGGTTATTTCAGCTGATACCAGCAGAGCAACTGGCTCCACAGGATTTCTGCATATCACAGACTTCTCCATGCCTAGCAGAGTTGGCTACTCCAAACCACAGCTTGTGGGCTGCAGGAGATTTCTGGTGTTGTGGACACAGTGTATGTAGCACAGTTCCTCAGACTGGGGCATGCAGGTGGTGTCCGAGGAGCCGCAGGCCAAAGACGCACTACACAGGAGCTGGGCCAGCCAAGGGAGCAGGAAGGGACCTTCAACAGTTTGCAGAGAGGAGACAGAAGCAGGGAAAAGCAGATCTGCATCAGCTGGCATATGAACAACACAGGATCTGATTTATTGCTCCATCAGTGCCTTGCCCCCAGTAACACCAAACTGCAGGAACAGTTAGTGCTGAACAGGAATAGCTGACTAACTTCCGTATAGGCCTATATATACCCACTATATGGCCTGGAAACCAAAAGTCAGGCATTCAGCTTGGAGCCAGAGCAGCAAAAATATCAAATACAGAGCTCCGTTCATCTCCTAACTTAAGCGAGTTTTGATACTAGTTTCAACAGCAGTAAGTTCTCGCTCTGAAAAGAAAGGCAAAGTAATATTTTCAATTAAACGGGAAGGGTTTGCAATACCCTTCACTGGATGTGTTGTTTTCTGTATCTTGTTTGTGGAGCAATCTGGCAATAAAAGGTGCTTTCAAAATGCTGGATATTAATTACTCAGAAATGTTCCCCTGTCTATTCTAACAGACATTTCTGCTCCAAAAGATGCACATTCTTTATGTCTCTTATTTTCTGGGGCACTCAGCCCCAGAGGCAACAGGATAGCTAGCCAACGGGCACCCAGCGGATTCAAAGCAAAGAGGAAAACTTTGGTAGTGTTGCTCAGGGGACAGGGCAGTAGGCTTGGAAGGATGAGTCCAGAGTGAATTCTCAGTCCTTTGATCAATCCAGAAGTCACACTGTGACATTTAGAAAGCCACTTTGCCTCTCTGTATCTGTGTTCCATAATGTAATAGACATAATACAGTGTCCCATGCCTTTTTGTAAGGTATTCTGCAGTCTACTGAGAAAAAGTAGGAAAGAGATGGTAAATAAACAGCATCACTATTCTCCCTGAGATCTTTCCTGAATGATCAGGAACAAAATGGCTTTAGGAAGGTGAGAGGCAGAGTCAAGCCAGCTGGGGTTTAAAACCACTGTTCCAGATACAGATGCCATCTGTCTGTGTGCAGCCCCCTGTCCTCTCCCTTCCCACCAAGGAAAGATACTCAGTTACCACATTCTGCACTTTTTCTCTTCTGCATCCCTAACTAGACGATGCTGGAGAAGAAGAAAACCTGAGCCTGAGAGGAAGAGCAACAGTACAAGTCTCTAGTATTGGTCTCCAGGCCCAAATGGATACTGAAACATCATTACCACGAGCATAGTTGTTGGCTCTCTGCGTGTCTTGTCTCAGCTGGAGTACTTTCTCTTTCATCTCTGCAATGACCATACAGTTAGAGTAATTCAGCTCTGCCTGCAGAGCCTGAAAAATCTTGGCCGAGAAAACAACAACAGAGTAAACGAAGATAAGACGCTGAGACTTCACTCCTGCAACACAAGCCCACAAAGCCACCGCCCCTCCAGCACCTCACACGCCAGCTGGAGTGGCTGTGGTGCTGCGTACGGCTTCAGAGCTCGCACGCGTGCTGAGCACAGGGACACCTTGTATTTCAGGTACTCTGTCTCTGGTCTTGCAATAGAAAGACAGAGCAGCATGGCAGCAGATCTCCACATACTCTCTGTACTCCCTGTTAGGGGGGCAGTAAGTCAGTTCAAGCAATCACTGCCCTGCTCTTAGACTCTTTCCACAACGTTCCTCAACACCCTATGGAGCAACTTTGCACAACCCCTTCAGCCTCCCCACCTGTGCCATTTATTAGGGCCTGCCACTTCACATTACATGGCAAGATTCTCTCTGTATGGGCTTGCTCAGGGGGCTGTTTACATTTACTGCTAGGTGCTCTGCACTGCCAAAGAGGCATGCAAATGAGAAGCATGATCAGGGGACCAAACATAAGCGCAGGCTTATAAAAATCTGTATGAAGCAAGACAGATACAGAAGGAGTTGGTGTCTTCATCCATCCATTGCGTTTATCTAGGGAATGGTTGCATGTCCCAAATGCTGGATGCCAGGAGTAAGTATACTGCTCCCCTCAAATCTAGAGAGTTCCTACTACAGAGAAAATTTATACCAACAATTTCTGAAACGCTTCCAACTGCACCGCAGCTCTCCTCCCTGCTTGTGATGATACAGCGCAAAAGTACAGTGTTTCTTCTAGATAGCGATGGTATTTCACTTTTTTCTCTACAATGGGATTTATCATTTATCACTACAAAGGGATTTCAGCAACAGTTACTTAGGACCTTTACTGCTCTACAAACAATAATTTCAGAATCAAAGCCAGTGTGTGAGGACAGGACGCCTCATCTTGCACTTCCAGCCCCAGGAATGATTCATCTTAACCATATGACGGGAGTTTTCTGGAAACATTGAGCTCAATGTTTCCAGAAAAATTCATGTACACAAACACTCAAGGAAAAATAAGCAACTAATATTGGTACAAAACTAGGACTCAACCTGTCTTAAGACGGAGTATCCAGCTGACACACATGCTCTTTTCTTTTTTTAGAAAAAGAACAAAATGCAATTCACCATCCTAATAGCCTCAAAGATCCAGTGACCTTCACTAGGACGGCATTGCAGGTACCTTCAGATATCAAGCCAGCTTCATACTTCTCCATCTGTTTCTGCTCTCTCAAAGCCCTCTCAGATCCTTGGGTTCTGCTCCATGGGTACAGCTTATGCAGGCATTGCCGAGTGTATGACAAAGACTGCTCCTCGAAGTCCCCTAAGGAAATTCGCTTGCAAAATGATATACTGAGGGGGTACTCGTTGTCAAACTCATCCAAGATCTCCATTCTGTACCTGATCCAAGATGACAGGGCAGGCTCCATGCTCTCCTCTGGCTGGTGCAGGCAAGAGAGCCATTTTCTGGTGATGAACGGGGGCCTCTCTCCCTGCCCTGTCAGCAAATATCAGCAGAAGCAGCTCCTGCCACAGGAGCTCACCAGCAGCCCCCCGAGAGCCTCTGCCGGTAAAATTGCCTTTGTAGTGCAACAGCAGCAGGTCTGGGCAGAAGCTTTGGCACAGAACGGTCTCAGGACAGGAAAACCGGGGCAGATGCTGCCCCTCAGAGGGACTCCCTGCCCTCCCCTGCCCTCCAGGCCTCTCCTGCCTCTTCCCCACAGCCCCTGACTGGGCACGGCCCTCGGCAGCCGAAGGCCTCCCCACGGGAAGCACATACAGGTCACTCGGCGCACTTCCCAT